CACAAGTCTTAAAGGGGACAAGTTTGCTGCCTGGAGAATTCTGGGAGTTGAAGTCCACAAGTCTTAAAGGGGCCAAGTTTGCTGGCTGGAGAATTCTGGGAGTTGAAGTCCACAAGTCTTAAAGGGGCCAAGTTTGCTGGCTGGAGAATTCTGGGAGTTGAAGTCCACAAGTCTTAAAGGGCCCAATTTTGCTGGCTGGAGAATTCTGGGAGTTGAAGTCCACAAGTCTTAAAGGGGCCAATTTTGCTGGCTGGAGAATTCTGGGAGTTGAAGTCCACAAGTCTTAAAAGTTGCCAAGTTTGGGAACCACTGTTCTAGTCCAACCCCTTGCTCAAGCAGGAGACCCAACACAACTTGAGACAAGTGGCTGTCCAGTGTTTTCTGAAAAAACCTCCAGTTGATGAAGCAAACACAACTTCTTTCCGGTGGCAAGGAGTCCCACTGGTTAGTTGTCCTCACTGTTAGGAACTTTCTCCTTAATTCCAGCTTGCTTCTTCCTTTGATTAGTTTCTGTTGTTTCTCGTTCTGCCTTCGGGCGTTTTAGCAAAATAAGTTGACCCCCTCCCCTCTTCCTTTGTGGCAGCCCCCCCCACCACCCCAAAATAATGGAAGATTGCTATCATGTCACCCCCTGGCCCTTCTTTTCTCTCGAGTAGCCACGCCCTAAACAGATGACATGGGCACCTGACTCTCTTTGAAGAGCTAAAGGTATTCTGGACAAACTGAAAGGGACACAGAAATAGCGGCTATTTTTAAAGTGGATCCAATTTTAGAAAAACATTCAAATACATTTAAAATAAAAGAACAACAACGCTCTCATTCCATACCTCTCTGGGCATAGCTGGAATCCATGTCCTTAAAGTGCACCATTACAAAATCTGAGGATTTGAAGAGGATGCTCTCTATGATGTCTTCCTGTTTCGGACCCAAACTGGATTCGGCCGTCTTTTGATGGGCCGCGTCGAGCACCAAATCACACTGAAAGACACAGGGGGGCAGGATCAGGCCGGTCTTCCTGGCGGGCAGCTTCATGGAGCAAAACCGCCACAAGCCACGTTTCCCTCCCCGCCCAGCAGCGAAACGCCCCCACAGACGGGAGAGACCCTCAACGGTCAAGAATTGGACAGTTCAACAAGGTGCATGAAGAGTAGTTGTAGCTGGACATTTGAGGTCCAGTTTAAGACTAAGGTCTCCTTTGATTCTCTCTCTCCACTTAGCCACTAAATTAGAGGTCTCCAAACTGGGTGACCTTAAGACTTTGTGGACTTCAATTCCCAGAATTCAATTCCCAGAATTCAATTCTCAGAATTCCCCAGCCAGCTTGCTTCAATTCTGGGGATTTATTTCTGAGAATTGAATTCTGGGAATTGAACTCTGAGAATTGAATTCTGGGAGTTGAATTCTGGGAGTTGAATNCTTCTCCTCTCCACCAACCCCACTTCCTCCTAACACTGATGGCGTTACCTAGCTGGGTAAAGAAACGTCTGCAAGGAAACAGCCACGTTCCGACAGCACCAAGGAC